ATGAAAGATTCTTACCACCCAAAATGTGGTTTTGGAATTAGCTATGCAACATGGGCACTCCTTCAGAGTCTCATAGAAATTCATGTTCTCAGCGCCCATTTCTGACCTGCAAAATCGGAATGTGCATCTAAACTAGACTTCCAGGTGACTCGTTTGCACATTAATCCTTCAGAAGACTTACTCAAAATAAGTAAATAAGGGGTTACTATTTCACATAGAAAGGAACCCGAAGATAAGTAATTCTGATTAATAATTACAAACGATGCTAATCTAAGCACTTTCCAACTTATCACTTCAACATCCTCAGTCCTTTTGTCCACAGATATAATATTTTATTGTAATAAAGTGGCTGTCATAGCTCCAAGTATCATATCCTCACAAAAATTCTTTTCAAAGGCAGGACAGTCAATCTATCCTTGTTCGTTTGTTTGTTTGTTTTGTGTATTTGGTTCAAGGTCTCACTACACAGCTCGGACTCATAGTGATCCTCCTGTTTTCAGCTCCCCAGTGCTGGGATTACAGATGTGCGCCACCACGCCTGGACTCAGTTGGAGGCTCAGCACACGCAGGGGCGGGGCTGGTGCGATGTGGTGTCAGGTATGGAACCCCAGTCCCTGTGGTCGCCTAAGCAGGCGCTTGGTTCACTGAGCTATCTCTTGTGCTTCTTTTTAATAAAGGAGGTAAGTACTCTCTAAGAGTAACCCAGTAAACCTCTCTTTATATCTCATTCTCTAGAACAATGTCACAAACTGTCTTCAAACTAATAACTGGCCATAGAAGACAGGGTTATTATGTCGGCTTAAACTAATCCAGGCTAATCCCCTGGAGCTAGGAAAGAGCCAAAGGTGCCTGAATCAACGGGAGAATCCTATCAGCAGGGACCCTAATCTCTATTGCAAAGGTGCCACATGGCTCATGATGAGCGAGGAAGTAGCATTTCTAAGGGATACAAAATTGTTAAGAGAGGGAACCTGCCCCGAAGCTCAGTTCTTTAAGTGGCTGCTTCAACAAAGCAGTCAAACTCAGGTTGCTGTGGTTCGATCCCCACAACTCAAGTCAGCCAAACCTGCCCTGAAGGCATTCAGAGATAAAAAAAAAAAAAGTTAAGAGAAAAGGACATATGGAAAATGTTCCTAATCTAGAACTTTTCTTGCAAATACTGAGAATGAACGGAAACCGTTGTCACACAATGCACTTGACAAACAAGTGTATCTAGTGATCATAAAGCGACTTGCAGTCTTTATTAAGAATAAAGTGGTAGATAGGAGATGAAAGAAACCTTTTAGGAGCTTAGGGAAATAGTCAATAGGAACAATCTGAAATTTTGCCAGAGAAAAAGAGGGCAGAGTGACAGTTAAAGAGTAGCTCTAACAAGAGACGATTTTCTTACCTACCTCACCCCTTGTCATAGCACATACCTGAAAATGTCAAGAGAATCAGTGAAATAAAGAATAAAGGGTTTTCACATGCCCCTGGGGCACACTGAGCACCAACTGAGTCCAGGTGTGGTGGCGCACACCTGTAATCCTAGCTCTGGGGAGGCTGAAAACAGGAGGATCACTACGAGTCTGCACTGCATAATGAAACACAGTACCAAATACATTAAAAAAAAAAAAAAAAAAA